TACATTGTGCATTTGTCTATTCTCTTTTCAGTTCTTTTAGTTTTTGCTTCATGTGTTTTGAAACTGTTTAATGTAAACCAGGTGTGGTGATGCATGCCTGTAATCCCAGTACTCAGGAGGCTGAGGCAGGAGGATCACTGTGGGTTCGAGACCAACCTGGGCTACATAGTGAATTCCAGGTCAGTCTCAACTACATAGTGAGACCCTGTCTCAAAAAACAAAAAACAAAATGAAACAAACAAAAAAAGAAACTGTTTAATGTATACATACTTGGAATCATTATGTCTTCCTGGGAAATTCTTTTATCATTATGAAATGAGTCACTTTATTTCTAGTAATTTTCTTTGCTCTGAGATCCCTTTTATCTGAAATTAATACAGTCACTTCTACTTCTAAATATTTGCATGATATATGTTTCTATCCTTTTATCTTCAACCAATGTATGTCATTAAATTTGAAATTAATTTCTTATCAACAACACATAGTTGGGTCAATTTTTAGTCCACATTGCCTATATTTTTTTAATGTTGTATTTAGATAATTTATATTAAGATATTTATTAATGTGTCAAAGTTTCTCTACCATTTTATTATTTATTTTCTCTTTGTTTTTCTCTGTGTCTTGTTTCTTAATTTCTGTTTTCTTGCTTTTTGTAGGTAACTTGAACATTATAAAGATCCAATCTTGCTTTATATTTAGTGTTTTTACATATACTGTTTTGTATAGTTTTCTTACTAATTGCTGTATTAAAAAATATACATGACTTACCATAGTTTATAACAATATTTTATCACTTTTTGTGGAAACTTTACTTAATATTTATATTCCTTTACAGTCTTTCCACTTTTAAATATTATTGCCTTGAGTATCAGATGATGTTATAATTTTTGTTTTAATCATTGCATGTAATATAAAAAACTCACGAGGAGAATATACCCACATTTCTGGCCCTTCCATTGCTGTTTAGTCCTTCCTGATGTTCAAAAATATTCCTTCTTTTGACAAATGCATATAACCTTGTCATGGACACTCCTCTCAATAAACAGAATATCTTTGTCTAAGAAACCCTGTCTGCTTCTGCTTTTTCCCATCTAGAGGTCACTCTTAATTTCTATTACTATATCCACTTTTCTTATGTTGTAGAATCTCATATAGGATAAGTGCTATCATAAAGTATGTAGCCTTTTGTATCTGGATTCTTTCACTTGACATAGTAATCTTGAATTTAGTTTGTGTTGTTAAATTTTTCAGTAATTCATTTTAATTGCTGAATAATGTTACATTGTATATAAAAATTTGTTTGACTCATGTTGATGCACATTTGGTTCATTTCTGGATTTTGGTAACTATAAATAAAGTTACTATAACATTTGTATTGAAAGTTTTTGTGGACCTATTTCTCTTAAGAGAAAAAACAGGAGAAATAAGAATCTCAGTCCTAAGAGTGGAATTTGTGTTGACACTTTTCTCATTTATTTCCTTTTATTGGCTTATTACCAGTTTCTTCTTTTTTAAAATTAATTTTATTGGTACACTTCTGTAATATATA